AGACGGCCGAGGGCCTACCTTAGGCTACTAAGGGGTTAGGTACGGGGGAATCTAGGTTTTCTTTTAGTTATTTAATTTATATTACGTAGCTAAGTTAGAGGGCGACTTAGTATTCTAAGAGAGGACAAATATAATAGGGTAGACTTGTTTCGGGTTATAGTTATTCCGTTCCGGGTTTATATATTAGCTCGTTACTAGATAGCTTTAAAATATTATCTTCTTTACTTATTAAAACCTACCTCTTTTATTATCTTAGTTATTTATATTTACTATATACTAGATTATATATATCCCCTCGTTTACAATAGGTATTTGTTCTATAAGTCTATAAGGTATATAGTATATAGACTTATTCTAAATACAAGTATTATACTTAGTTACTATCTTCTTAACTAGAGTTTATAGCTTATTAATATAGTATTACTACTAAATTCTCTAGAAGGTTCTTCTAATTCCTTAATAGCTATATTCTAGAGCTTTATAGAATTTCTAGATAAATTCTAAAGTATATAAGCTTAGTACTTTAAGTTTTCCGTCTTTATATAGTAAGTTTCCTTTAGAAACTACTAGTACTTTATTCTAGGTAGCTATAATATTATTATACTATAGGCCTCGGACTTTAGTAAGGGCGGTAATTACCTTAGAGTTAGAGATAAGATTTCTATTCTTATCTTCTTTAAGAATAGCTTATTTTTTATAAATCTTATCTTCTTTATACTCTAGTTAATAGCTTAAAGCGTTAGCCCGAGAATTATCTATCTCTTTTATATATTTAATTATAATATTAAAATAGGCGAGTTCTTTAGTCTAGTATACTATTCGTCGGTTATCTAATTCTTTTATTATTAAGAACGTTTATAGGTTCTTATAATCTATAAGAATAATAACTAGGAATTTAGCTCCTTAAAGATAAATTTTCTAGTATCTTAATACTTTAACTATAGCTATAAGTTTCTTCTTATAGATATCGTAATTCTATTTAGCTAGCGAGTATTTCTTAGAGTAATATATAATAGAGTATATCTTTCTACTCTCGTCTAGTTATAGGTAAATAGTACCTATAGTAGTATCTAAGATATTAGTCTCGACTATACTTAGTTTATTAATACTAAAACTTCTAATAACTAGTTTCTTAGTAAACTAGTTTTTTAGTTCTTATATAGCTACTCTCTTCTTTTCTTCTATAAGAAAAAATATATCTTTTTAGGTAAGATTAGTAAGTAGTCTTATAATCTTTAAATATTCTTCTATAAATTATCGATAGAAGTTTTTAAAACTAAGAAATAACTAGATATCTTTAATATTTTCTAGTTTTAGCTAGTTCTTTATCTATTAGATCTTCTCCGAGTTAATATTTATTTTTTCTAGTTTAATAATAAACTCTAGAAACTTAGTTTTTCGAGTTCTAAACTCGTATTTCTCTAGCTTTAGTCTAGAGTCTACCTTAGCTAAGGCTTCTAGGACTAAGCGAATATACTCTTTATACTTATTCTTATTCTCTAAATAAATAAGAATATTATCGAGATAGTAGATAATAAACTTATTAAGGTACTCTTATAGAATATTATTATTCTATCTCTAGTATATTATAAGAGTATTAGTTAGCCCGAATAGTATAATAGTATATTTATATTAACTAGAGAGTATAATAAATATAGTTATTTACTTATATTCTTCTTTAATCTTAATAAGGTTAAAGGTATTTCTCTAGTTAAGTTTTGTAAATATTTTTACTTTAGCTAGTCTATTCTATAGATACTACGTATTAGGTAAAGAGTATTAGTCTCTAATAGTAATATCGTTTAGTCTTTAGAAGTCTCTATAAAGTCTTCCTTTATTATTACCTATTTTCGCTACTACTAGTATATTTAAAGTAGCTAGCGATTTAGATAGCCTAATCTATTCTTTCTTAAGCGCCGTATTAACGTATTTCTCTAACGTCTTAGAGATATTAAACCGGTATTATCTTAATTTCTTAAAAGGTAATTATCTTTCTTCTTTTAGATTAATCTTATAATCTTATAGTTAGTATTTAAATAAGACTTAAAAGTCTTCTAGGTTTTTAAATAACTTCTTAAATTTTCTATACTATATAAGTATTTATCTTTTCTTACTATTATTAATAGTAACCTATAGAGAACCCTCTATTTCTTCGAGGTATCTAGGTACTTTAGAGAAGATAGTATAAACCTCTCTCTAGCCTTATAGTTAAACCTATATACTCTTATAGGCGTATCTTTTATAGGTTATAGTATTAGTATACTAGTCTATTTTAGAGTTATACTCTTAAATCTAGGCTATTTCTTATATAGCCTTATAGTTTCTAATCTTAGTAATATTAAACTAGATATTAGCTTTATATCTATCTAGCGAGAATAATTTTAATAGAATAGTTACTTTATTAACTTATTTATTACTATAGTCTAATCTATCTACTAATTTTAGAGAGTATAGATAAATATTTATTATAGAAATATTTAACTTCTCTACTATATAGAGTAAGATATAATTTCTATTAGCTTCTAAGTCGATTATAACTTTAATTAGTTTTTCTCTAATCTTTATTTCGACTATAATTTGTCTCTAGTCTCTAGTAGTATAGAGCTTATAAGAGTCTAATAATATCTCTATAACCTCTATATCTCGGAGTAGGTTAGTCTATATATAGTATTACGTAGTCTATTCTTATAAACGATAAGATATACTAAGGCGTAGAGTATATATATCTAGAATCGAGGCCTTCTATTAGGCGAACTTATCGGCTTATTCTTTAATAAAAGAAACCTACTCTTAAATATATTTTCCTAGAGATTTACTAATAATCTCCTATATATCTTCTAGCTTAAGAATATTATTTAAGTAGAGTAACTACCTAATTAGTCTAAGTAGTTTAATAGTTATCTTCTAGGTATATTCTTATTAGAATACTACTCTCTTAGTATCTATAAAAGATACTTTATAACGTATATCGATTATAGGTTTCTTCTCTTATATCTATTAGTTAGTAGTAAACTTTTAGCTATCCTTAGTTTTCTAGATATTTCCTCTCTCTATAGTCTCTTAGAAGTACTAGTACTCTCTAGGTTTCGGGACTACTTTCTTAAGTTAGTAGGCCGAGAGGCTATTAGGTTCTAAGTCTATCTAGTATAAGGAGTCTTTAATCCCGTATTTCTTAGTTAGAGGAGGCGTTTTAGATCGTATCTAGACTACTAAACTAAACTCGGTAGCTTCTTACTTACTCTAATTACCTTTTAGCGAGGTAGCTCTATCTATTACTACTAGTTACCTAGTATTACTAAACTATTTTTTCTAGCCTTTCTATAGCTTTTCTTTATAGTAGAAACTAGCTAGATAACCTTCTTTTCTATATTTAAAGTAGAGTTCTTTTTTCTTTTAATATATTCTTTTCTTATTAGAAAGCTTCTTCTTATTCTTTTTCGAGATATTAAGTTCTTTTCTACTAATTACGTTAAGTTCTATTAGGTTACTATAGCGGTTCTTTACTAGACGTATATAATAAGAATAGACTCCTTTCTTTTTAATACGTCGCTTATATACTTAGTTATCGATTTTAATAGCGGCTTTACTTAGCGTATAAAGGCTCTTAAGAAGATCTATATATAATAATTCGTCCTTTATAAATTTCTTTAATTCTCTATAGAATAATATTCTTAAGGCCTCGTCGCCTAGTTCTAACCGCGCTAAGGTTTACTAGAATTTAATATTATAATAGATAGCTAATCTAGTCTAGGTAAGCTTAAGTAGAGCTAACTCTAATTTCTTTTTAATATTAATATCTCTAAAAGCTCTTCTTATCTCGACTATAAACTCTTTTAGTATTTTAAAATAATCTTTAATAAACTAGAAGTAGACTATAGATACTAAGTCTATTTAGGTCTTATTCTCCTAGTAATTACTAATATAAGGTTCGATCTAGTTATAGGCTCTCTTCTCGAAGTATAAGATTAAGAATAAAACCTTATCTATTTTATTTCTAAACTTATCTCTATAAAAACCTATATAGAGTTAAGCCTTTATAATAAACTACTCTATATTAGCTAGAGTCCTATTATACTTGTCCGGTAGAGGGATTTGTAGGCTCTCCTTAGCTTCGATTATAGTAGAGGCTAGTAGTAGTAGTACTAGGGTTTCTATAATACTTCTAGTTAGACTAGTAACGTTTAGAGCTATTATTAATAATCTAGTACTTACTAAAAATAGGTACTTAAAGTATAATAATTCGGTTCTACCTAGAGTAAACTAGAGTTATCGTAAGGTTAGTATATAGAGAAGTAGGCGTAAGACTATTACTTATAGATTTAAAGATCTATTTATTATAATAAGAGTAAGTTAAATAGATAATATACTATTACTATAATAAGTTAAGTATAAAGCTCTTACCTAAGGAAATTATAGTTATTATATAGAACTTCTTACTCTACTTAAGTTCGCTAGTTCGCTAGTTAAACTAGTAAACCTCTATTTAGTTCGCGAGTTTACTAGTCGAACTAGCGAACTTTCCTAATTACGTGACGGAGCCTAAAACCGGGGCCTACCTACTAACCCGATCACAACTAATATTAACTAAATTAAGCTATTAGACGGCGGTCCTAGGAACTACTCGATTCCCGTGACCTCGCCTAATCCCAGGACTTTTGGTCCCAGGAGTATCACGAAGCCGAGGCCGACGCTGCTCGTGACAAAAATGCACGGACTGCCACTTTTAATGTCCACCGCGAGACTACCTACCTACCTAGGTAGGTAGCTAGTCTCGAGCTAGCAAGCAAGCACTTGAAAAGTGCAGTACACAACTGTAAAATATTTTTATTTAGCAGTTTTGATCAATCCCTCAATGGGCGTTCTCTACTGCTTTGAGCGGGAGGTTTACCGTACTTTCTTATGAAATGTGTGCAAGTTATTGAGGTTTTGGGATCAGTGTGAAAAGATTGAACTTCGTCGGGGGTTTGATTCAGAGGATAATTTGCTTTTATATGGTTTATCTAATTTACACTGCTACTAGAAGTTGCCCCCTCAACGAGATTGAGTTTTTCGAATATAGCTTTCATATCGCGCAAATCTTCTGTAGGCATATCTTTCGGAGATGAGGACCGCTCCTCCACGAATTTACGAATGTTACGCACGATGGAAGGGTAGCCTTCATCGTTAGGTAACCACCAGTGCATGCAGGATTGATCTCTAAAGAGATCTGCCATCTTCGATCGAAATGTATATGGATATATATATCTATGGGAAGGTCAATATCTCGGTAGAAGCCAGAGGAAAATAGAACATTACCCGTTTCTTTCGATCAGAGCAAGTTTACGACGAGCCCACATGGCATGTTTCTCGTCCCGCGGTAGAAACAAACAGGATATACCCAAGCTTGCTTGACATGCTAGAATAATACCTGGCGGGCTACTCGGCGATAGTTCCATGGCTTCAAACAATTGGCAACTTTCGTATGCTTTTCGAACAACCTCGATATCGGGTTGACTTTGCGTTATCATGGACGTTTGGTACCGGTGCATCAGATCAACAGAGTGCCAATCGAGCACCGCCACATTCATCGCCCATAGTGGTCCGCTAAATAGGACCCCTGGTATATATGGGTCAACTATATCATTGGGATCACGAGTAGGAGCACCCGTAAAGTCAACGACAGCGTAACGACTGTCCACCAGAGCGGGATCGATCTTTGATCTCCAATCACTGATCCTAGAACCCAGTTTTTCGTTTTCTTGGTTGAATTGAGCCAAAGAAATCTCACCTTTGCCCATTTGCGAAAATAGCAAAGACATATCCGTAGCAAGCAGTCGGGTCTGGGCAAGCACGGCTTGTATCTTCCAATGTATCACTTCTGGTTCGGTTTTCGTCATGCTGTGGAAATACTCGAACGATTCTGAGAACCATTCCCTTGAGAGAACAGTCTCAAACCCACCCATGAGGCTCGCGAAAACATCAAACCGCATGTACCACCCAAGGATTATTCGGCTCATCCCACTTTGCATGATTGTCTGGGGGGAATACAATTCGGTTAGAATGTGGTATGCAGCCTTTTGGTGGCCCAGTAGATTAATCCAATCTCCGAGAAACTCCTGCTAGATGTCAGAATCATCGGATAACATAAGAATAGAATTTTATATACCTCTATCGTTGCCAGCTGTAACATTGCTAGGATCGTCCCATGGCTATGTCGTTCTCCCTTTTTCAATGACCTCAACAACAGCGACACGGATTTATTATAATACTGGAGAAAGTCCTGAATCTTTCCGTTAGGATTTCGCAAGGTTCGTTGAAAGGCCGAAAAGCCCACGATAGCGTACAACAGAGCTTCATTTTGCAAAGCAATGTCTAAATATCGTGTGCGCATAAAATCTTCCGCATCGTATTTTAGAGAATAGTGTAAATGTGTAATATTCTGTTGAAAGTATGTCAAATAGAACTGCAGGTCCTGGGGTAAACCAGCCCAATCTGCTTTGTCGCAAGAATTTATGCCGCCTTGCCCAGGTAGCCGAGCGTCGACCAAAGTTTGATAAGTAGCATATCCAGTTGAGCCTTCACTAGATGGTGTGGGCGAAGATGCTTTATCCTGAACAAGAGATGGGGTTTCGGAGCTGTTTCTGGTGGATGGGTTTCGAACACTGGACATCTGACTAAAATCTTTGGGCCGTGAACTAGATAATCCTCTTGTATCGGCAAGATGCGCGGTTAGCTGGTCTTCGTCCTTGATAGCTGCGAGAGTACGCTCAGAAACGTCCTCGTATTCGTCAGAGGAAGAACCTGGACTCTCACGATTCGAGGCCTGGGCACGCTTCGAGTGCCCGCCATTTCCAGATGGCTTTGCAGGTGTCGATGACTCGGGGTAGACGCAATCTCGCCCGCCCTTCCTACAACCTATCATTGTTGTTAACTTCAACATAACACAAGCCTGAAGACTGGACCAACATACGGTCACAGATTGGACGTGTTTCATCACACTAACACTTGTTAGCGGAATTCTCTAGTGATTGAAGCATGACATTACCTTGACCCTTCTACTTCTACACGTGTAGCATCCGGATCGAGTACGTCGATGTTTCGTGCTGTCCAGACCCTGGGTAGATTTCCGACGATTTCGATTTGGCTTTTGCGCCAACATCGGATCCTGAGCGCCGAAAAGATAATTCATGTCCGCATAGGAACTCGCAGAGCTCAACTGTCGTGGCGGCGAGGAGGTATCATTCGGAGCGTCAAGGCCTGGCACCGGTGGATATACCTCCAACATGCCAGGGCGTCGGTCAACATCTTTGATGTTGAAGTCCGACATAATGCTGCGCTGATGGCCGGTCGATTGTGATTCAAGAACTTTATCTAACGGGCGGCTGTGTAATTCAACACCCCAACGGTCTGCACAAATTATATTGGAGTTTGGCGTATCCCAAAACTGCAAGTCGTAATCGGACTAGCCCAGAATAGGACGAGATGGGCAGGCAATTGTCCGGCCTCAATTGAGCTTTGAGGGTTGGGATAATAAAGCCAGGAACGGCAGTGCAATATACAGAAGCAGGTTTGTCAGGAACCGTCAGACCCAGGGCATTGCCTTGCACCCCGCCTCACTCTCAATTCCAGAAAGCTGTCGTTAACCACGCCCGGTCCGTCGCTGTGCTTAAGTAATATGAATCTTCTCACTTCAAAGGGCTGAATCTTTCCCAATAAGCACCATCCAAATCTTGTCTGATTTGGTGCTTCAAACTACCTGTTAGAAGCTTGCTTCCTAGTCCATGATTGGGCTACAAGGTAAGACCTAATTTCAGTCTTGAGCAGAATGAATCCTGGTACTGTATAGAAGTCCCTCCACCTGCCTTAAAGGTAGTATTTGGAGCTATCAAACGATGAATGACCAACCCCTGTGAGTGCATACAGCTTCGGTGCGGCAAGTAAAGGTGTGGAGGGTGAGGTTGCCAGATCTCTGGAAGACGCTTGGAAGGGGTGGTTGTCAAAGAAGCAGCCTCTTAAGTTCCTCCGTATACAGCAGGAATATGATCTGATGGCAGGATCGAGGGCTGATCTGAGGTTTAAGTGGGACAAGAAGAGCGCTTTCCCCCACTCAGCGCACTCAACTACTCGACAGTAGTCTCGACTAGTATTTCGGGACTAGGCCATGTTCGACGGCGAACTTCTTGGATATCTCGTTGGTGCGGGACCAGGGTGCGGGGAGGTTTGCGATGGGGGCAGATGTGGGAGGGCCAGGTCAGACAGGTCAGACACTCATCCGGCGGTGACAGGCCAGTCCAGTCCCACTACGATTCCCGCGCTGGCCAGGGGTGGTCTCCAGCATGTGTCTCAACTCCCGATGGTGTGTTCCGGCCCAGTTTGGCTACTATATCAGTGGTGGGAAGGCAGTGGGAGGAAGAGAAGAAGTCGTCACTTCTAGCGTCAAGCCTAGAGTAAGGCACGGAGAAGCGGGCAAGTGTGAGCTCGAATGTCAAAGCCGCTGTCGAGCAGGGGCGATGCAGAAGGTGGCAGTTGACGGAGAGCGAGGACTGGAGGACTCGAGGACTGGCTGGATACTCGAGGACTGGCTGGATACTCGAGGACTGGCTGGATACTCGAGGACTGGCTGGATACTCGACTGGATACTGGATGTGGTGGAAACTTGAAAGACAAGCTGTGCATTCGAAGGTTGTGAGGGTGCAGGGGCAGAATCGTGGGTGCAGAATCTGCAGATCCCGTTGGCGGAGTCGCTGTTGACATTTGATAGCCAAAGCTTGATGACCACAGATGGCTACTGCGAGTGGAAGAGCAGAACGCAGGCGCAGGCCGCAGCAGGGAGGGAGAAAGGGTTAGGGAAGGAAGACAGCACAGCTTTCCCAGGTTGATCGCTCAGGTTCCGATTCCAGTAATCTTCGCTTTCACGAGGCCTGACGCCAATCGACACCAGCGCAGACAGGGCGGCACATGGGGGGTCATTGCATGGGAGAAAGAGGAAAGAATGCAAAGATCTAGTAGTAGTCTGCTTCTGTGCGAATCGGGCCAGGGCCATGAGTCCATGACGACCTATGCAATCGAACGAAAGTTGGGACTCAACTTGGGAAGCTAAGAATACACAAAACCTACTCCGTATGCTAGTCTCCGAGCAGTCTAACCTTACCGTACGGCGTGGGCACGCCGTACGACACCAAGCAGCTCGACTTCCCAGGTTGCAGACACTCCCTCCACCTCCTCCACCTCCTCCACCTCCTCCGCCTTTTACCACCTCCTTCCACCTCCCTCCAACCAACTCGCGCACATGGATTCAAGTCCCTACCTACGAGTGCGCCCGACAACCTCAAAATGCGTGCAGACCAGCGCAAGATGCGGTACTTCCACTGCTTCTAGAACGTCGAGCTGGACCACGTTAGGAACGCCAGCTCCAGCGCGAACCTCCGTACAGGCTGTACAGGGAAAGATCACCACGATGCACGGCACAAATCGATGCAAAACCACCACTACGGATACGGTCGAAATCGCTCCTCGAGAGCACCGGCCCTAGCTAAAGTTATGCGCGCTGATGCCATAATACAGCCAGTATTGGCCCTGCAGAGCGACGAGATTTTCACGACCGTTGACAGAGTACTTTGGTACGCGCACCTTTCCCTGGACGAAGAGCAGAGCATCCCCTGAACATTACGCTGCTTCGGCGCTGCGGGAGCACCAGACCTCCAAGATACCGGGGGTTGCATCTGGAGTGCTTCCAGAGAACAGCCCTGAACACATTGTTGCATCCTGGGACGCCGTCCTCCCCGAGTCTGCCAACCCATAATTCACGGAATATAGGCTGTTCCCGGAAACTGGCACGAAATGCGGGACACGACCCGAGCCTTGCAAAGATATCATCGTGTCTTGACATTGAAACCGCTCTGTTAGTTAATGAGGCTTTGGGGGTAGTTCTTACATCATATTCCTCAAGCTTGGGCCCGAGCCCGGTAATCAAGTGTCGAGAAGCTTGCTGAACTGCAAAAGCAGTTAAGGGAAAGGACTCTTCATCCCTCGTACGTGGAAGAGGGGAGTATGCCAAGGCAAGGTTGGGAAGAAACCCAGAGCCAGCTTATCGTGGGAAGCAAGACAGATGTGGCCACCGACAATCAGCATGGAGAAGAGTAATACTCAAAATGGCAATCTGCTGTAATTTCAGTTTTAGCCTATCCAAAAACGCCACTTGCATGGTCTGTATTCGACGACGCATCACGAATACGGTTCTATCACAGTCTTGCTAAAACATGTGTCCGCACCGGAATCTTGGGCTGGTGCTTGACTTGAAGTGACCAATGTCACAATATCCAGAACGCTTTCATTTGAGAAACTGCAAGCTTTTCTCTTGTCAGAGAAAACCGCGAGTCCTAGATCTATACCAAAGGGATTTCGCCTTCTTCTACCAGCTCGCTTTCCATTGCGTTTTGTGCGACTATCTCTTATCAGACTCTCAGGTCACTGTTTTGAGTGACTCGATACGTGAAAGGAGAGGTTGCATGGCTTTACTTTTAGCCGCGCTCTTTACATTAAATATCACACAACTGGATTCAAAACTGCCGGCAAATTCCACCGACATGTGCATGTCAGCCATTCCACTCGTGCGAGTTTAAAGCGTTGACACCGCAGATACTACCATCTCTTCTTTGCATGGCGCTGTTAGAGGCAGTCTGCGCCAATATGGTCCAGTACCGGAATGAGACCAGACGAGTTGATAAATCGCTGTTCACTTACGGAAGACCTCATGGTGTCAACAAGGAATGAATTTTTCTCAAAATTCGTTCCATATCATGCCATTGAGTTTTACGTCATCAAAAAATCTCCAGCATATAGGTATCAGTCCGTGTTGCTATGCTTATTGCGTTCAACTCACAACCTAGCTTAATTCATCACTAGGAACTATTGTCCTCCTGGGTTGGCCTAGACCAGGCATGGCCTTCAACACACATCAAACAATACCAAAATCCCGGGTCTTTGGTCTGCAGGTATCCCTGTTTTAAAATACCGTACGGCTCCTGCTACCGCATACGAATAGTTGTGGAGTGGACCGGTCCTCCGAACCATGCGCAAGATGTTCTTGGTGCCACAACTTGTACACATTATTCACACCTGATTGCGGCATAATAACAATCAAGGTAATATACGAGGGCTGTTCGGGATCAATTCTCTGTCGACGCATTATGCAGGTACGAGGTGTATCCTTTGCAATTACAGAACTGGCTGGAACAGGCTAATGCCAGTGTGTTTACAGAGGTCTAAAGGGTCCCGAATCAAGCTCACATACTATCAACCCAGATAGTGCATATGTGCTGTTTGTTGGAGCCATCTTGCTTCAACGTATTACAATCGGCCTGAAATGTACTTGCGAACCCTTCGACGTGCTTCGTTTCCCACATCCAGTATGCGAGCACGAAATCGAAGACAAGGAGCTATGTAAGCAAGCTTCAGCGGAATGCAAGCTTACCCCACTGGCGATCGTGATTACTATTGATACTATTGCCTTTGTGTAAGTAAGCAAGTCATGATGTTACTAGAGGAGTATGCTGCATGGTGAAGGCTTTTTTTCCGTTCATACAATTTTTTAATGATTTGCCGAACAGAGCCATTAGGAAGCTGGATAACGAAGGAAAGCTATCGACAAGAGTACGGATATCTATTCTTCCTGTTGATGGCGACCCCAATTACCTCGACCTTTATCGTTAGGATTTCAAGCGAAAACCTGATATTGCACGCCAGATTTACCTCGACATGCGTGTCTCGACGTGGATCACATTGCACTATTATCAGTGAGCAATGCTGCCCGCATGTTTACTCACTACAGGGAGTACCCTCTCAGCAGTCAGGAATAGTACCGGCATCCTTAAAATGCAGCTAACCACGCGTGGTGGCATGCCATACCGAGTAGCAGCAGCCTGCAGAGGACTGCATAGGCGGGGCGCAGTGCAACCTTGGAAATTATGTTGTCCACAGACAATAGAGGATGCTTTGCTCCTTCCATCACATGTTGCCTAATATCCTCGACTATAGCCCTCTCCCAAGCCCGCAGTGACTGATGGTTCTACAGCATGTCGTTTTACAACATAACATAAACAGTATCAGTATTCAACACACATCCTCAATTTGGAGTGCTCCCTTGTTGGCTAGCGTCGAGTGCCATATGAGTCTGCCATGAGCATCCGAGAGCTTGAAATATACTCCATTTAGGCTGAGTATCGATGATGGCGTTGTCCTGGCTCATGAGATTTGACGCATCTATGTTACACCATAAATATGCTGACGACCAATCAACACCCGAGCTAACTGGCAGAGATGTAGACTCGTTATACCACATTTTCGCTGCTGTCTGGCACAGTATATTCTAATAACCTGAGCAGGGTGGTTACAGCTGGGACCTGCATCTCCGCACTAACTAAATTAGGATTCAGTTAGCAATCTTCCCATGAACATTATGGGAAATGACTACCCGTTCTCAGATCGCAAAAACCACAGTGGTCTTTGACTGTGATATCAATAACAAACATAACACCTCATAAAAGTGCTACTTCATGCCTAGATAATGATTGTTTGGAATCGATGTACTTTTCAAAACCAGTCCATTGTAAGGAAGAATTTCCACACATGCCAGTTCATAAAAGTCCTTCTCAAATGGGCCGATCACGAGATTCGCGGACAAGTGGATTTGAAGATAATGCTTCCGCTTTCGGTGATTGACATCTCAACTCAGAATCTCCCAAACAGGCTAGGGTTACTCTCCGACTCGAGCCAATTGTTGAGGAGTTGGAAGCTTAGGAAGAAAACTTTCGTCCATAACGTGTACATGGAACGTAGATATTTTTCTTGAGTGTCGAGGAACTTCGAAATGATGAGTTTTTCCTCGCCCCAAAGGCTTTAATCTAAAATTACAGCTGGTTATACTTCCGCCTTCCCTGGATACACTACGGTGGGTCTTCGAAAGTTACCATAGACAAAGCTATTTCGCCAACAATAGTTTGAGGGTATGCGTATTATTCCTGCACACGCAAAGTCCATAGCTTCTTCTTCGTGGTCTATTTAAGGGGGACGCAGAAGAGTAACTAAATAATGACTACAAGTATGAGTTACTTTTCATTTGAAAATAATAAGTCTACTCAAACTCAGATGTCCTGAATGTCCGCCCATAGTTTATCCCCAGGTCAAGTACATAAAGGAATTACAATAATGCTTGATCTATCTAGTTGACGTTTTCTCCAACTTGCGACAGGTATTGCTTTTCAACCTCGGTACCACACCAAATTTTAAAAAATTTGTTATCCTTGAGATATAAATACGAGTGTTCGCGGTCACCTCGGTCTACATTTACATATCTTAATATTGCCTAATTGTCAGTGAAAAGCTATCTTACTTGCCTATAAATCACTTTATATACTAGGGTACTTTATGTTTTAGCTCTCTGTTAACGATACGTTATAGGATATATTAGGCCCCTATTAGCGAACTATAGCATTTTACTTACTAATCGTAGTACTTACTAATTTTATACTATAGGATTAAGCGGAAAAAAGAATATATAAACACAATTAAGATAGGTTTTAGTATTATGTATTAAATTAATAATCTAAGCTTTAAGCTAGTAATGCTAAGATATATTAAGAAGTAGAAGATTAGCTATCTTTTCGCTTACTAGAATAATAGATTGTATTAGTCCTATCTAGGGTTTTTTCTCCTCTTCTACCCTCGGCTTTTAGCCTTTTCGAATACTATAGGGAATTGGCCAATTTATACATTAGTAAGTAAAATACAGCAGAACCACTTTCCGTAGGCTGCTACGCCCAGAGCTCGACGATCATCAAGTAAATCACTCCCCTAAAGTGTCGTTCATCGCCATACTAGGATGTAGCAAAAGTATCAAAGTTTACTTATGAATTATGGGTGTCACTACACAACAGCTGCTTCGGCTTTCATGTGGGTGGGTCACCGTGTTACTGAAAAGACTTGAAAGTTTTCCCGCAACTCAGGTAATTCTATGCAGCAGAGGGGCGAGTATAATCAGGAAACCTCCTCTCGTATTAGACAGCATTTTATGATATCAAGTCGTTTTCTCTTCTGGAGTCGATGTCCGTGTTTCTGGAAATAACGTTTGTAGTCAGTCTACAAATATTACGAATATAATTATATGATTCGATTTTACCTCCAACCAATCATAAGTTGGCTCAATGGTCTAGTGGTATGATTCTCGCTTTGGGTACAGTCTACAATTAGTGGGCTGTCACTATGTGAGAGGTCTCCGGTTCAATCCCGGATTGAGCCCTTGGAGATTATAAATATTTTGCTTTCGACTTTTAGTTGCTTTGATTTTGCTCGGGTTGTGGCCCATAATTTACATCCGAGTATGTTCTCCTGTTAACTGACTTCTACCTAGGTAGTAAATGTGGCATAAATTCGAGAGGTATAATCTACTTTTGTCGAGACGTCACTCAGCCCAGATATACGATGTATACATGTAACGAATAATGGGTTGTTTGAATGAAGTGAAATATTTTACTAAAGATCTAGTTATTACAGAATAACTGGACCGTGTAGAGACTCTACAGCTGTAAATTACTTAAACTATCCCCAAGCACTAGTTATTCAGCCAGGCTTGCGTGTGCTCAGCCGTTTCTAGCTAAACGGTTCTGATAAATGGAACTTGCTATAAATCGTCCACGGTAAAATTGATATATTTTCACGAGTTAACAGTCGTTGCACGTTCGTGCATTACTGCATCCCGCAAATATTTTAATGTTAATTGTAGAGATATGAAATAAGATGAATATTAAATGCGTATATTTCCGAACAGGCCTAAGCTTCCGGGGGATACCAAAGTTCCATAATTATCGTAATAAGTTCATACAATCATAATCGAGTCAGCCCGCCAGGTCGTTCACCAAGACGCCTAGCCTAATGTGCAATCCAAAGCGACCTAGAATCCTATCCATCTGCCCACCAGGCTATTATTTGAAATCCGCTGCTGTTAACGCCTGAACCACACTAGTGCCCTCGCTGAATCGGGTTCTGAAGATTCGGTTTGCGTTTTGAAACATACCATCCTTCAGACTAACAACAATAAATTGAGACCCCTTGAAGCGCGTCTTGATCAAGCGACCGATATTTTGCGTATGCGAGAGATCTAGCGCTGCGTCTACTTCGTCGAGAATGTACATTGGTGCTGGTTTGAATTGTAGGAGGGCCATGATGAGGGACAAGGCCACAAGAGAACGCTGACCACCAGACAGTTCAGTTAAAGATTGCTTCCAAACCTTCCCCAGACAAACCTAACTAACTGTTAGCAGACGGTACGCTCGACGAGGAGAAGAATGAAATACCTTGACTTCTAGACCTTCGTTAATGGTCTTGCCTTCTGGTGCGTCAAGTCTACAAAAACTTCCTGGCAGTAGCTCCGCAAAGATCTGTCCAAAATCCCCATTCACCTTTTCCCATGTCTCTTGGAGAGCCTTTTTCTTATATTCATCCAAAGAGACTATTGTCTCTTCAATCTTCTTCTTGTCTCTTATCACTGTCTTCATCATGGTTTTAAGAGCAATCTCTTTCTTTTCGACACTGTCGATCATGTTCATGACTTTAGGGTTGATCTTTTTCTTCATGCCTTGGAATCGCTCTGTAAGATTTCGAAGCGATGCCTTGCACTCTGCGATGTTCTGCCCCTTGAAGTCATACGGTGTGCCAGTTCTTCCAAAGCTATCTTTCTCATCTGCTATCCATTCATGCTCATTTTCCATATGAGCGACAGTCTGAACAGCAGCCTGTTGTTCCTTGATGAATTTATCGATCTGATGACCGAGCTTTTGCATCTCGAGGCCCTCTTCGGTAATCCGCGCTGCTTTGGATCTCGAAGCTCGCTCCAAAGCATGGAGTTCTTCATCAAACCCTGTTAACTTTGCTCGCTCGTCATCAAGATGAGCTTGGGCAACGTCGTGAGCGTCATCAATCTCCTTTCGCTGACTGGTAAAGTTTGATACTTCTTCGGCTTGTGATTGAAGAGTCGTCTCAACGTCGTGGAGCTGCTCTTGAGCGGCCGCGAGATCACTGCCCACTTGTTCCGAATCAAGTCGTGCGCCCTGAAGCTCTTTCTGCACCGCCTTCACGGAAGCTGAGTCCTTAACCACAAGTTTCCGAAGCGAATCCAGGGACTTTTGAAGCTCAACAAGTTTGCCATCCTTGTTGTTGTCAAAATCTTTCATGTCCTTCTCGATTCGCTTAGCATCCTTGTTCGCCTCCAGCTGTCGCTTCTTTGCATCCTCCAAGTCTTTCTTAAGCTGTAAAACAGATCCCTTCATGTTTTCAACCTCTTGAATGATTGACGAAGATGAATTGCTCCCAATTTGCTCCTCTGTCAGTTTGATTTCGTGAGATTTAAGATCTAACTCTTGTTTGATTTTCTTCGCTTGATCAAGTTTCTGTTTCTCTCTTGCCATTTTACTTTGCAGTGCCGAAAGAGCCGTCTCATTTCTCGAAAGCTCTCTTGTAAGCTCATTGAGTTTTTGAAGGGTGACGAGAACACCGCTTGAATTGGGCGAGCTTCCACCAGAAAGAGTTCCGGACGGATCGTAGGAGTCCCCCTCAAGGGTGATACTCTTCATTCGAACACTGGGATCAAAAGTGACCCTTTTTGCAGTGGCAGCATCAGCACAGATCAGAGTATTGCCAAAAACATAGTCCATGGCTGTGGAAACCTCGTCATCGTATCCGATTAAGGATAAGGCCAGATCGACTTTTCCGGGAGCAATTTCCTGCGCAGCGCCTATTTTCTCGGAAGATGCGCGGAACGCCGCTATCTTGTTCAGAGGAATAATGGTAACGCGCTTTCGGAGTTTGCCGTGTTGTAGAAGTTGGGTTCCAGTAACTTCAGTATCGACAACAACATTATACAAGCGACCACCGGCACAGATTTCAAGGGCTGTTCCCGCGTCGACTCTGTCTTTGTCAAGAGTGAAAAGCTGGGCCACCAAACCCTTTACCTTCGATCGGTCGAAATTAGGCGAAGGATCAGCGTAGTTGAAATCAATGTTGGCAACCTTTCGTTTCAGCGTGTCCGCTTGCTCACGAATTTTTCGGATAGTTTGCTGCAGTGTCGATTCTTGCTTGTACATCTCGTCTTCCATCCCGGGCTCGAATCCTAACTTGCCCAATTCCTTTTCAAACCGTTGCGCCTGTGATCGAAGACCTTCAAGGTCTTTTAAAAGATCCCCGTTTTGTTCTTTTGCTTTCTTCGCTCGTGGTTCCTCGTCCTTGATTCGTTTCTCTAGGTGCGACATTTTGAGCTTCGCTTGCTCTTGTTCAGTGGACGCCGCACTGACTCGATTCCTGGCGTCTTGGAGCTGTCCTTGATAGCCGCTCTCCTGGCCTTCCTTGGACGCAACACCAGTCTGCAAAGTTTGCAGCAATTCCTCCTTGGATTCCGCCTCGGCGTTTTGCTTCTCTAAGTTTTCTTTGACTTGATCATAACGCGCTTGCAGCTCCTCATGAACTTTGGTTTTGTGCTTCAACGAGGCTTCGAGTTCCTTTACTGTCTTCTGAATTGCGGATTTTCGTTCGTGCTCCTCAGCCATACTTGATTTTTTCAGATCTATCACTGTCGACAACCGCACTATTTCGTGAGAATACTTTTTTACTTCCTCCTCAAGCGCTTGTGCTTTGCCGCCTTTTTTCAACTCCTTGTCCCGTTGTGCCTTCACTCTCTTGACATCCTCAGCTAAGTTATCAATTTCAGTCTTAAGTTTTACGGCGCCATCTTCCAACCCTTTTGCGCGAGACCTCTTTGCTTCAAGATCACCAGCAGACTGTGTGAGTTTCTCTTGATTCTTGACGTAGTCATGAGCGACCACCACTCTGGTTAGTCTCTCCAGGTCGTTCTGCGTCTGCTGGAAGTCCAAGAATGCCCGTTTCTCGGTCCTCAGCTTCTCTAGCTTCGGTTCGATCTCCTCTCGTAGCAATTCTGTAATCTCCTGCACTTTCATTTCCTTTTTTGCCATAGTCTTAAATGCCTTGTCTCTGCGATCCTCAAACATACGTGTGCCAGCCGCTTCCTCGATCATCGCCAGTATCTCCACCGGCTTCATGTTTAAGACTTTCGTTATGCGGCCTTGCATGATGAGGAAATTGGGATTGTTGATATTGAGTTGCACTGACTGGAAAAGATTCTGCACCGTCTGTTGCTGCGCTCGATGTCCGTTAATCAGGTATTTACTTGTCCCTCCCAAAACAATCTGTCTTGTCACGCTAATCTGCGCATACTCTTCGAATCCTATCGGCGACTTTTTCTTGTCGCGGTTGTCGAAAACGATCGTCACTGAGGCTTTCGTAACACCCGCTTGTCCGCGTTTGTAAATTAGGTCCTGCGTATCTCCATCAGCAAGTACACGTTAATGGCTCAATGAAGATTAAACTACCTGAAGGTTCTGGGCGCGGACAGTCGTCATGTTGGTAATTCCCAGGACGAAACATATCGAGTCGAGAATGTTAGATTTTCCACTTCCATTTAGTCCTGTAATTGAATTGAAACTCTCGTCCCTAAACATCGTCAGATTGCTCTGCCTACTATTGAAGCCGCCAGGTTTGTTTACCACCCTGAAATCACCGTCCTCACAGCATACGACTTGAAACCCTGCGCAAAAGGTTAGAACGGCTTGTATTCCAGAGATCTTCTTCATACGTCTATAATAACCTCCACAACCCTCATGATTATGTATTCGGTGGTTTGTGTGGTTAGTAGTTGAATTCGGCGTCGTTGCTGTTTTCGCGTTTGTTGACTTTCGACGTGTTTAGGTCTGGCATAAGGTTACGGCCGGAGTTGAGCCGGCACGCCGGCTCTGTTTCTTCCCCCCACCCCGACCCCCCATATTAGGCAATGGTCACGGTCCTGGTACTACTGGATGCGATCATGAGTGTCAAGGAAATCATATCTGTACTAAATGCACCAAGGCATTAAATCCCCATATGAAATATTGTAGTCGGTACCGATCCATGCTCAATCCGAAATTACTAACCGTTGGGACAACAATAGTGGACTGCAGTATAAGTTCTGGTGGTTGTATGTCTGAAGATTTTATATTTGAAATCAACTTTTGCATTCCACTCAAGCGGTGCTTTCCCTCCCAAATTCGAAATTGAATTCACATCACAATCAGATACAGATTAGCCCCTGGCTGACATCGAGTGATAGCATGGCTTGCAGACAAGATACTTACCATTCCGTGAGAAAATCAAGATTTGAAGGCTGTCTCTGAGTGAGTGCATGTACATTTGATTCGGCCTTGCCCGCGTCTTGTTACATATTCCAAACCCAGCCGATCCCAATCAGCTGCGCTAACTTGTTCACCAATGATAAGATCCCGGGGTGAAGCCCTATTGGTCAGAACAAGCGATCTGCTAGCGCAGCTGATGGCATAAAAAAGGTATCAGTCCAAAGTAAAAACATATGGTATCTTAAATCCCTCCCACTGCAACTCCGTCAAAAACATGGCCAAAACGTTAAGCTTTAAGCTCCTCGTCAACGCTCCCACTAGCATTCGTTCTGACGGCTTGACTATCACCTTGAATGCCAGCCCCTTTCCAGGCATTGTCCTTATCATGTTCAATGTCTGCTCGCTCCTCTGCGATATCGCCAGCCAAACTTTCCGCAGTCTCCTCTTCAATCTCATCTGGAATGATCAAGTTCAGGACCACAGCCAGGAATGCTGTGACAGCAAAACCGGTCTCCATGACAAGTGCGATGGCATCAAAGAATCCTGCTTTTGCCTTATTATCGCCAGCGTACGTAAAGACGTGCGCGAACCATTCTGGGACCAAGATGGCACCGAGACCGATGGACATTGAACCTGTCAGCACGAAACGTGTTCGGCGTGTGAAAGGTACTGTAGCAATAATTCGAATACCAGAAACCGCTACCGAGGTAAAGAGGAAAGTGGTCATACCGCCAAGGACTGAGGATGGAATTGAAGTCAGAGAAGCGGCGAATTTAGAGAAAACTCCCATGATGACGAGGAACAGACAAGCACAATACCCGGCAGATCTATTTGCGCATCGGGTGAGGGCTATAACTCCATTGTTTTGGGCGAAAGTGGAGACCTAGTGTTGCAATTAGTGTCGCTATCTGATTGGTATGAGTATTCAGATTGAAAAGATGTACTTACAGGGGTTGAGGTGCATAGACAAGAAAGCATACCATTGAGACCATCTGCTAGAACACCACCTTGAATGCGAGAGTCGAAAAGCTTGCCGTCTACTTGGAGACGGGAAACATCACAGGTGGCAGTGATATCTCCAATAGCTTCCATCATAAGAATTAGGTAAACCGCCATCAGAGGTAATATAAATGGCGCATAGACAGAAAGAGGAAACGTATGCACCCATATAAAGCTTACTGCTGGCGCACTTGCAATTGCGGAGTCGGAGAAATAGCCACAAGCGGCGGCGACGATACAGCCAACAAGTAGACCGAGAACAACGCTCACTACAAGTGACGTTAGTCAATTCCAGGTTGTAAGGTACAAAATTTCGACTTACAAGACTTCATGATTGGTGCTCCAAATCTCTCACAAAGGATGATGGTAACGAAAACCAAGAAACCCAGCCCAATAAACTCAGCACTTCCCCAAGGCAAGGCATGAGGTGCGCTATTGGAAGGGCACAGCATAAAATTGCCTGTTTCCGGTCTTCCCATACAGTTCCCACTTCCGCCGGCCCAGTTCGAAAAGCCAGACTCAATTAAAGAGATGCCAATGAGAGTCACTGTTGGACCCGTCACAATAGGTGGGAAAAGCTTCTTCAAAACTGAAGGGGTCATGAATGAGAGTCCTATCTCTAGAAGTGCACAGAGAGCGGCCGTACCAATAATGGCACCATAACCCTCAGGGCATGGCAGCTTAGTCCCATCAGCTGCGGTTGGACACATGCCATTGACGTACATCTGGGATAGGCCTTTGGTTGCGATTGGGATGATGGCGAATGAGGTACCCACCACGGAGATCAAGCCGGTACCAATATAGTAGGGAGTTTTCATTATGTGGAAGCGGGTGATTTGAACCGCAGAGAGGATGCCGCAAACAATCAAAGAGGTAGAGACCAGATACTGGGTGGTCTTTTGACTGAAGTTAGCCGCGCCAGCGATGATGATAGGTGGCGTAATGATTCCAGCCAACATGGCAAGTGCCTGCGGGATGTTAATGACTGATTATGTATGGAAGACATTCTGATGCTCACATGCTGGAAGCCAAGCAAAAGAGCTAAGAACACTGGCATTCGGTCATTGAGTCCGAAGAAAGGAGCAGCTCTCGTTGACTTTTTCATGAACGGGAGGTTTGGCCGGAAAAGGAAACCTAGATCAGAGTCAGTTCAAGCGTTCCTGAACCAAAAGGCAAACAAAATAATGCAACTTACCATAGTCATACTGGCCAATGAGCCCATCCTTTGTTGTGAAAGCCTTTCCAAAGGCGCGGAGGTTTTCGCCAAACGTCCTCTTGGGGCTGTAATCAGGACCAACCCTATCAGGGCCATCCATCGGGCCTTGATCAATTGTGACGGCCATGCTGTTCTTGATCTGCTTCAGAGAATGGAAGAAGCTGTATGTATGGCCGGCAATAGTGTCTCGAGGCTGTTGCTGTTGCGGGAGCTAGCGGACGAAGCTATACCTTAGTTTGCTGGACTGGTCGGTATGAAAGCACAGCAACGAAGCTTCACAAGTGCAATTTATTGGATTGGGTTGGGTTGGGGATGGGAGACATTCGGACTGGGACATGCTTCGATCTATATATTTAGACTTATCTCCGTACACACAGCTCCAGTACCACTCCAGTACCACTCTCCTTGCTGGTAGCCAATGACCGAGAAATGGTCGCGTGGGAGGGGAGAAATTCGAGAGCGCTGCTCCTCTGCCCGCACCGTGCCCAGCATGTTCCGGTAGGGGCCGCCAGCCGCCTTGTGTGGGAACGATAAGCGAGCGGTATGCGGGGTGTTCATTGGTCGACAATGCGTCCGCCATGATTAATGAGGGATCCCAATCGATTTTTGCTTCCAATGGTATCCGGCTCTCTTATCATCCCTTTGGTATGGCCGCGGCCGGCGCTGATGATGATCGGGATCCGCGTGGATGTACACTGATTGACGGGGCCGTGGACGTTCAGACGCGCTCGAGACTCTTCTGCAGCAAACCCAGCACCACCTCCACCCATTCAGAGGAGAGACAACGAGTGTTGAAGGCGACGGCCGCTTCCGACAACAATATATCTCCGACCCCCTACCGGCTTGAGACTGAGAAAGTTTTCCACTAGACCGTCCAGTTGATATTTTCTCTGGAAGAGATCTCTTTGAGGCTCGGCGATACACCTACTTGCCATCAATCTCGGCTTCCTCACCAAATGAACGTTCCAGACATGAATTCAGGTTTCCCATCCGTCGTCGTTCAGACCTGCAAGCAGCATCATACCAGGTGGGAGGAGTGGGGAAGAATCGTTAACTCTCGGAACAATCTCATCTCCTACGAAGGGGTCACGGTGCATGCTTCTGAAAGATAGATGAAAAACACCTTAGCTGGGTGGAAGTGACTGGCGGACACTTAACCTCCATAATCCGACATGAACAAATTCTGTTCCTCGGTACTCTTGCCTGTGCCGGTTTTTCACGCACTTGAAAAGTAACTCAGAGGACTCCTAGGCAATGACATGTTTCTTCGGCAAAGAAGTGAGCTCGGGAATTTGGAGATGGAGCAAGGACTCGAGTACGTTGTACAGCGAAAATGAAATCATGCTGCAACTACCATTGTTCGATACAGTACATTGGCATCCTTCTAGAGAGCCGAGAATGGCATACTGGCCCATATACTTGGATAGAGGTGGTGCTTCATGATGGAGCAGATGACAACACGTGCAAAGCAACCCGGAGCGGATGCAAAAATGTAAATCATACCCATCCCGAGGAAGGGTAATGAAAAGAGAACTGTCTATCAAGTTGTTAGCACAAGTTATAGAAAGGAACACCACAGCAGGCACTGAACCTGGCGATTAGCTTATTGGCTTGTATGGGAGTTCGAAAGGTACTGTCAGAGCATCTTCGTTATTGACGTAGATTTGAAATTTTGAATAGAGCATCAGCCCTTGCCGGCCACGAATGGCAAGAAATTGCTGTAATCAGACAGGTTGTTCATGTCTTATGATTGTCGACGAGCTGGATATGTCAAGCCTAGTGAGAACGACAGAGCAGCTAGACCAACCATTAGCTGAATGGCGATCATGGCAGGTCCTCGGCTCGCGGTAGACAACATGACTAGCAGCCGAAACACGATACTTCTTCGATCAAGTTGACGAAGTATCGTATTTACTAGAGAAACTTGTAAAATATGACATATCCTCCCGCCCCCTTTTTTTTGGTCAATGAGACTTGTTAAGCTCTATTCGAAGTTGACTTATTAAGTCCAAAGATTAGTGGGTAGGGTAATTGACACTTATTTCGGTCCTCCGCGAGCTAGGACACCGAACAAGCACAATTGTAGATTGTACAGCTGCTTCGTACGACCACGAACAGGTGCAAAGTGAGACCCTGATAGCCTTATGCAGGTACTGTAATTATTCTCACAGCCTTAGAGCATAGTGAAGCCCGATAGGCTTTGGTTATATTACTACCCATCATGGTTGCACTTTGTACTCCTGTACCCTTACGTCTTATTGTCCTGTGGTGACGGCTTCGTCTCGTAGGATGCACGTAATACCGAAGCTACCTGGGCACTCGGTACCGTTGCGGTCGAGGCTCGATCCACGAGTCTCGAATCAGAGGAACGCTCAGTAGGTTTGAGTGTCCTAAGTGTAAGTGTGGGGAGTTTCGCGGTGCCGAATTTTTCATCTTCCCCACAAATACCCATCGAAACCCCAGCGTGGCGAATCTAGCGACGAAAGGCGAGGTGGCGAAGAAGCTACTAAGAATGTTGAATCGGCTTCTAGACGCGGGTTCTGATGGTGATGATGGTGGTGTATTACTATTTGATTAGCGGAATCATGATCGCGAGCAGAATGAATATTCTAGCTCAGGTAGCACTCCAGTCAAGGCCTTGAAGAGAATGGCCGCAAAGAAGCTGGATTCAATAATGAACTCGATTCTACGCTTTAAACCAAATTTCAAGGTCCAAGGTCCAAAGTCCAAAGTCCCGATACCGTACTCCGTACATGCTTATGCGAATCAGCACGCATCAATGGTGGCCATGGACATGAATGTGTTTCGCATTTGGTGTCTCATGTTGCCGCTTGGTGGGGTTCCTTGACTGGTGCTGGTAATCTCCATACAAGCAGATTCAGCTTGTACATGGAAACGTGGAAAGACGTGATGAATCGAATAATACGTGCAAATACTCCACTACCTAGGTAAATAGGTATCCATGGATGGCGGTATAAATGATGACTGCACCGAAAACTGATGAAATAAATACACACAACATATTATTCCCATGCTTCTGGTGCTTCACCCGTCTGTCGAAGAATGTCACAGGCAATAATCATCGTCTCGTGGTGCCGAGGGTTGAATCCTCAAAAAATGTTGGGAACTGCCCCACATATATCACCCCTCTCATTGGCTCCCCTGATAATGAAGGGTCCAGCGATCGTCTTCTTTTGGGAAGCCTCGAGTAAAATGCGATGCTTGCAGAGCCACTTTGCTCAAACTCCCACTCCCCACGCAATTCTGCTGGTCCATGCCACTTGTTCGTTGGATCATTGGCACTAGCGCCTGTCCGAATTTATAATAACCCTTCCTCCCACCACACTCGTTCTTCCTTGACATCTCTCATCACGACATTCATTTGCCATCACAACACCATGGCCTCTACCGCGCCAGCGAGCATGGCGAAACCATCAGAGCCAAACCGCAACAAGCGATACGATCCCAAGAAGCCTCACATCACCGAGGAACCTATCACCAAAGCCAACTGGTACAAACATGTCAATTGGCTTAACGTCACACTCATTGTCGGAGTCCCGATTTACGGACTCATCGCTGCGTACTGGACGCCTCTCCAGTGGAAGACCGCGGTATGGTCGATCGCGTATTACTTCATGACCGGTCTCGGAATTACTGCTGGTGAGTGCCCTATCTAGAAATGGGACAAGTCCAGAAGCTGATCAATTCAGGTTACCACCGTCTTTGGGCACACACCTCCTACTCCGCTCGCCTTCCTCTCAAGATCTTCCTCGCCGCTGTTGGGGCTGGTGCCGTCGAGGGCTCTATCCGCTGGTGGTCAAGAGATCACCGTGCTCATCACAGATATACCGATACCGACAAGGACCCATACTCTGTTCGCAAGGGACTTCTGTACTCCCATTTCGGATGGATGATCATGAAGCAAAACCCAAAACGTATCGGACGTACCGACATTTCCGATTTGAACGATGATCCAGTCGTCGTTTGGCAACATCGCAACTACATCAAGTGTGTCATCTTCATGGGCATGATTTTCCCTTGCCTCGTCACAGGTCTTGGATGGGGAGACTGGAAGGGTGGATTCATCTATGCTGGTATCCTCCGAATCTTCTTCGTTCAACAGGCCACCTTCTGTGTCAACTCACTCGCACATTGGCTCGGTGATCAACCATTCGACGACCGCAACTCCCCTCGTGATCACGTCATCACAGCTCTCGTTACTCTTGGAGAAGGTTACCACAACTTCCACCACGAGTTTCCTTCGGATTACCGCAATGCCATCGAGTGGCATCAGTATGACCCAACCAAATGGTCCATTTGGCTATGGAAGCAAATGGGACTCGCCTTCGATCTTAAGCAATTCAAATCCAACGAAATCGAGAAAGGTCGTCTCCAACAACTGCAAAAGAAGCTCGACCAGAAGAGAACAACACTTGATTGGGGTATTCCTATTGAGAACTTGCCAATCATCGATTGGGATTCTTACGTGGAGGAGGCAAAAAATGGTCGTGCGCTGGTAGCGATTGCCGGTGTCGTCCACGATATCACCGACTTCATCAAGGACCATCCAGGTGGAAAGGCTCTCATCACGTCCGGAATTGGCAAGGATGCCACCGCCATCTTCAACGGAGGTGTTTACAACCACTCCAACGCTGCACACAACTTGCTTTCCACTATGCGTGTTGGTGTCCTCCGAGGCGGCTGTGAGGTTGAAATCTGGAAGCGAGCTCAACGTGAGAACAAGGACATTTCTTTCGTCAGCGATTCAGCCGGTCATAAGATCATTCGTGCTGGAAGTCAGGTCACTCGTATTGCAGAGCCTGTGGCTTCAGCGGATGCAGCGTAGACTATGGAAATAATTAAATGCTTTTCGGTTTTTATCCTCATGAGTTTACGGCTCTGTTCGTCATACAGGATTCGACATTGTCCTCATCCTTTTCTGTTTTTAAGCGTGTATTAGATTAAGGGAATGGCGTTAAAGTGAAGGGGTATATAATCTCTCTTGGTATGAGAGTCTGATTCGTTTATTGCATTTGTTGGTATCAACAACTTTTGGGGGTAGGATGCGATTACAAGACACTCAGCGTATCTGATGCCTTCATTGGGCTTCAACTTAGCATCGAAAAGATAAATCTGAAACTCAATCATTCTCCGTGTTCTCCGTGCCACACTCTACGTATTTTTCTACTAAAGTATCAAGGCACGAAAGTTGGCCTGGGAATCTTCCCCAGCTCTACCGCGTACACCCAGTTCCTTGCTGATACGTCATCAAGCTTCACATGCCACTCGTAGCCTACCTAGGCATCCCTCCCGGGGCACAAGGATGACACGCTTCATGGTCCATTCTATGGACGTCTCAACTTGATATTCGACCTGTATGGTGTGTATAGTATATCAAGTACTCCGTATTCGAGCCGTTGAAATCTCAACAATTTATTTTGGTTTTCGGGGTCTTTCAGGGTCCATGTGGTGCCGCTTAGTACGCAGTAGGTAGCCGGTAGAGTAGCTATCGTTAGAAAAGTAGCGTCATATAGTGGTCTGGTGTGCTGATGTTTTCACATGTGATAATGCTGGCAAGGGGCTTGTTTTGTTGGGCGATGTGGAGGATTGAGTTCAATCGTGTGTATATCGAGGGCATCTCGTGTTGGTTCATTTTCCTGCCGTTTACTTATCCCAAGTTTGACGGGTCGGTCACGTCAAAATCTAACTGGTCTATTTAGCTGAAAAAGTGCCCGATCCTTGTATGTATAAAATTTCTTTTATTTGAATCATAACACAATAGTCTATAATTGAACATGACAGCGCCTCTTCTATATCTTAGGAACTTCGGGGTCAATACTGACCTTACCGTGCTCGCATATTGCCAAAACCTATGGTCATTAGAAAACGTCTCCCTAACAACTGCATTTCGTGCAATCGATAAAAGCAGAACAACAACTTACCTCACCAGTACTCTCCCTCTTCATGATCCCATTGATGGTGCAAAGTCTCCGTCCTGCATGCACGATAGAGCACTCAACCAGCACAGTCTCTCCAACCGGCACAGGCTTGATATACGTAACATTCAACGTCCTCGAGACCCCCGCATATTGCCAATACCCAGGTTTTGCAATCGGGGCCAAGGCAGAAGTCGTAAGCCAGTCGAAGAGCGTGGCCGTACAACCACCATGAAGATTGTTGAGACGATTGCAGCTGACATTGTTGAGCAAAGAGTCAATTAGAGGATGGAAATTAGAGCCTACTGCTTGGGTTTCACGGTAAATCTACAGATACTGCTGCCTACAGGTGTTGCCGATGCTGAAATCAATTCAACATCCTCTGAGAGCATCGCGGAGCCCCAACCCTATTTCATTGTTTAGTTACCGGACTCATCTTGTGATTGAAGGTTTACCGATTCGCCTGCGTCTCCCGAATTTGCCCACGTCAACGCCCGTACTTTGTCGAGAGCTGAAATGTCCTCTCCAACAGGTATACCTCGCAGCTTTGCTGTTTTATGTTCAGACATTTGAAGAATGTCTAACCCGACTTTGCTGAGCAGCTTTGTTAGCGGAACGTCTGGGGAAACTCCTCGGCTAAAGTCCACAGTGGAATAAGGAGACTGAAGGATTGCCCTTTTCAAGACACAGCTCGAATTTTCATTGGTAATAGAGACGGATCTTCCATAATGTAGTGATCTAGTTCTACGGAGCTATAAAAGATGGGTCATACAATATGGTAATGCGTTGTCTTATACCGCGTTGCGACAGATCCGAAATCTCCGCGTCCTCTAATCTGGCTCGAACGATTGGAAGTGGAAGTGGAAATATGAGGTTTGTGAGAATCTTCAGGAGTTTCTGTCGAAAATTTGAACAAATATCTCAGTAGGACGCCGTATGTATACTGTCAATGTTTACGGCCGAACAAAAACTCAATTGCCAAACATAGTGGTAGAGACATCAGACGTTCCCACCTCGACGTTAGCTGACTCTGGGCCGAGGTTCCAAAGTTGTCTGTCACAGATGCATGTACGTCCGGGTGGATATCGGCGATTACACAAGATTAAGGTTAATGTTGCCTGCCTGAGGCACTAGACAATCTTTATCACCCATCGCCACCCAAACCCTAGATTGACCCTCGCTGTCCATTCAAATTAACGTCAGATCCGTCTATCGTCTGCCCACCGGTATTGCTCATGTTTTACAATTCGTAGAGCAGAGCCTTTGTGCTGCTTGTGACCTTCGAATGCTAAGTATTTCCAGGACAATGCCTGTCCAAGATGCTTTTGAGCGAAGGTACATTTTGAGTCGCACCATACACGATTTTCCGTCATTCCCAGATGTTGAATTGATTACAGACTCTGGCGGGAGGAAGCAGGTCATGGATGGCCAAAGGCCTTACAGGTCTTCAGCTGCCCGGTGAGTTTGGGTATTTCTGCAGCATCTTTACGACGCACACCTGCATGAAGCGTTTCTTTTATTTTCCGTATTTTCATGAAAGGCTTGACTCCAACCTATCAACTCTCGCAACGCAACTGTCACGCGGCGGCTTCCATAGGAAACTGGCCCACGAGTGCAGGAAGTTGAGCAAGTTAGTCACTTGTCCCGTTATTCGGAATGATCGCAAAAGCAATTGCAGTGCGAGCCGAGCTGGCCGTCAATGGATCTGCAGAAGATTTATATGAAAAATGACCTACTTTGCATATTTGGTACCACTCTACACACACAACTTTGATTTCGCCAACCTCGCAGGTTGCCATTGCAGGCTGCAGGCAGACAAATCTGCGGGGTTTGCTCTAGTTCTATCATTGTCAACCACTTGAAGCATTTTGTTATCCACGCAGCATGGTAAGCTGTTGGAGAAATATCATCGGAGAACGTACCTCCAGGAGTGGGCGTTAATACCCCTCTTCTTGTCTATGCATCATTAGTCCGCTACCGGGAAGACGTACATTTTCGAATGGAGTTCTCTGTGTTGAGACGGATTTTGAGACTGGCAAGGAAGGACTATATATGAACACCCAAGAAAAACAATACATCAGAATATGCAGAAGCATCATCAATCAGGATTAATACGTCCCAGTCTTGAAAATACGTTTGACTTGATAAGCAACCGCCATCATGGTTACGTTCTGGCTGAAGACTGTTTGGTTTTTCGCTTCGGGTATTCAAGCCAGGTCTCATACTGATTCCCTTCAGGATGCAGTAAGTGCTACAACGTAATTCTTGCTTATATTTTAACAGAGCTAGGATTCAGCCCAGTCTGGCTACCTCCCAAGTCATAATTTGTGTCCGAAGTCCATAATCAACAGCAAATTTACCTTGTCATGGAAGAATGATCTCGAGCCCAATGAAATTATTTTTGCGAAGCCCCTGGTGTATACACCGCCCTGGCTTAACAGCGAACAAGTCATTACTGTCTCGAGCTTGAACATGGTAAGAATCATTGATGGATTGACTGGGAAGCTGCTCAAATCTCGGATCTTGGCTCCTCCATTTCAAGCGGTTGACGCTAGATGCACCGAAGCCGGGAGCACTATTGGTATTACCGGTACTCCAATCATTGATCCCGATAGTAGCGTACTATATCTTTACTCCAAAGGCTACAAAGGAGGTGTGTTGTGACTTCAACTGCGTAGAGCGAAAGCTAATTAGCGAGTCTAGGCGTGTCTGGCCCTAGAGGCACACTTGCCGGTAAATTCTTATTGAAGTTCGACTTGTTTTACTAGCTAACGGGGATAAGGTCAATACAAGCTGTACGCCTTGAAGTTACCCTCTCTATCAGACGTGAGCGGATTTCCAGTTGTGGTTGAAGGCCCAGCTGAGAATGATAAAAGTCGGTAAGTTCTCTGAACAATGAAGCCCGTCTCAGCACCAACAAATACAGCTACTTTCTTGGAGGGACAGTTCTACAACGAGCTTCCTTGGCCTCCGTAGGCAATAGCATAGTCGCAGGCTTTGCAGGACATTGCGATAATTTTAATTATACTGGAATGCTTGTCGCAGTGAGTAAGATACCGAGAGTTGGAGTTACAAGCATTGTAGCCATGATGGCTAGCCCAGGTAGATTTACCCTATTTTGTACATTTCCCTTATTCTAATCATTGTAGGTGCACCACAGCCGCAGGAGCTCAATTACACTGTGGCAAAAGGTGGCAAAGCAGGTATCTGGGAATCTGGAATGGGGTTCGCTGTGGATGATGATCGTATATTTTTTGCTACTGGGTACGTTTAAGTACAGTCATTCATATTGCCCCCCGTAACTTATCTGTGACTTAAGCAATGGTGACGGTCCTGGCGATAATGGCAGCGGCCTTCCAGCGAATGGTAAGAAGGCAATTAGCACCCTGCAGCAGACGACATCCAACTTCATTGTCACACGCAATGGAAAACTCAAGCAACAAGACTATTTTCAGCCGTACAATTATCAAGCACTTAATGCCGCTGGGCGTGACTTTGGTTCAGCTGGCGTCACGCTACTCGACGAGGACGTCTTTAGGGGAAGAGGCGTACGAAGAATTGCCATCAGTGGGGGGAAAAGCGGAAGAATCTATATCATGAATGGGGATGATTTAGGCGGTTTTGCTAATGGTTTGTGATCTGCTGTGGCCTTCCATGGAACGAGTACTGACAAGCTGGAATGCTAAGGGGTGAATGGCTCTGACAATGGTTTCCTTTCCATGGCCCCCGGCTCTCCATACTATATTAGGCTAACAAGGTGACTACAGTTCTCCAGAGCATCGACAATGCCAAGTCCCTGTTTAGTGGTACAGGGAGCTACCCACGCGAGGGAGGATATATCTAGTAGTCTTCATGCAAATCACCATACAGCATATGATCAGCTGACCGAGGAACCAGTTTCAACCCACTAGCGGATTACTTGTACGCCTACAAAATCACACTTGCATCGAACGGGAAACCTCTGTTCGTGCTTGCTGGAAAATCTAACATCACGCTTAACGGACGAAGTACACCTACGATTACGAGTTTCTATGGCAGGATCGGGACGGGCATTGTCAGTTCATATTCTTTTCGTGTCTGACGAGCTCATTCTACGAACTGCATATTGGTGGCGTAGTTCCTCTGCTGACTTTTGGCTTTAGATATGGATCTCGGACGTCAACCGTGGACTGACCGCTTTTAGAGCCGTACCGAACAACGGTGTATTGGAACAGATATCTGTACCCTCAACCGGGAACTTGACAAGGTTCCACAGATCAGTATTTGGTGATGGAAGGGTATACGTGGTGGGAGACAAAAGTCTGATTGCTATTGGTGGTGGTAGTAAAAATCTGTGCTAGTGAATCTAAAGTCAACTGAGAAGTGGAAATCCAGTTGAAGTCTGTTGGCACAAGGAATCCTGAAGAGTCGAGCGAGCTTATATTACACAACAGTCATTTTCGGAATATTACTATATCCATTTTATATTGCTGGGATGGCCATGATTTATGCAGTCATGAGTTGGTACCTCTAGGGTTTGTGTAGCTCAAAGCAATACAACAAGTCAAAAGAAGAGAGCTTAGAATGGACAGGTTTTGGCATTAGGAACTTGAGAATACACTGCTCGCCCAATTACCGAAGCCGCGTGAGGTGTTACAAATTGTCAGTGGTAAGAGTTGCCAACCTTCAAATAGTGGATTAATTATATCCCATCGTGAATACATCAAGAAATCTTAGAGTAATAAGTCTGTCCTCCTGGATGGGAAGCGAAGCTTGCTTTGTAGTCGCAGGATCGTCAAATATATAAGCGAAATGACTTGGAGCCATTGCTTGGATATAGCCAACGAGTAAGTGCATTGCAATTGTTTGAATTGCCGTTGGTGTTAAAGTGCTCATTCCTAAATCAATTTATTGCAATAAATGGTGAAGTCCAACTCCTTTACCACATGAGCCTAAAATTCCTCACGTATTCTTGGTACTACCATGATGTTGGGTTGACTGATCTTCAAATTGCTGTAGACAATCAACGTAAATAATCTTATCAGCATACGTACAGTAGGCACTTCTGATCTTGGATCACCGAATTTGCTACGTTGTATAAACCCGCAGCTAGAGGTGATCAAATGATTTTCTTGTTGTCAAGACTCGACAGGGATGGAAATTGGGTTGATAGAATGGATGGCTCTGTCCCTCTATTTGCTGGAAATGGAGAGTTTCATGATCGAACACGCAGAGCACATACGTCCGCAGGCAAGACTGGTGTCAAGTTAGATCTACATCTATAGAGCATTATTACATCACTCTTTTTGCGAACTTTACTTCGAAGTAGTCTCCTAGTCTGGTCAAGAGCAGGAGCTAGTCCTTATGTGGGGTGCCAGACGGCTGGTAATATGCCAAAAACATCGGCGCCACCAAACACGAGTATCTGCATCTGTGATTGGCATATAAGTACTGTGATTTGGCTGATAGCCCGAATGAAGCGTCGCACATTCCGCTCGCACCTTGGCAATTGTCACAAGCCAAATACAATATGCCATTCTCGCTTCCTGGGGGAAGAAAGGGTGTGTGAGGACGGAGGCGGGTCTAATCTCCGAGAAAGAGATCTGGCGTTGGTGGAAATTTCCCTATCATTTTCTTGGATTGTCCATTGCACCAGTTACGGACCAAGATTGACAACTGGAAACCTCGATCTCGTCCCCCACGCTCATCGAATGCATTCGAATAATGAATTCCTGGAAGTCGGAATGGACGGGACGTACCACTAGGCACGAGTATGGCAAAGCAGATGTTGGATTACTTGTATGCCACGAAGGTTGCTATTCGGACAAAAAGAATGCCGTTGCGACGCGTTCACTGCTGAGTGCTCAGCAAGAATCCGACATCCAATGTCCGTGAGGTGGCCTACCAGATGGCATCTCGGTCACCAAAGGATGCCGTGGGCAGATGGATTGCATTCCAGACGCGTATTGTTTTCGAGACTCGAGAGTGCACTGGTTGCTCAGGTATGTACCGGTACCGGTACCGTAAGAGTCAGATCAATAGACGATCAGATGAACCGCAAGTGAATCCATCTATTTCGTCCCAGCGGAGGCGGAATACCAATGAAACAATACAATCTGTGGCTTCCTTTTCCAGATGCCAACAGCTCCATAAAATGCCAACGATTGCTGCGCCTCAAGATTGATATTCCCGCCAGCGCCACTTCCAGTGCTGGCGCGTTCATTTGCTTGTCCTCGGTGGGTGATTGGAGAAGGAGACGTGGACCTGGCCATCGGGAATCGCAGCGTCAGGGATGGGAGAATCCAGGGTCGTTCGAGGTCAGGGCATGGCATTCTAGAACGGAGAGGGAAAAGCACGAGAAGTATGCCAGCGGAAGTGCTCTGAAGTACGACGGCATTCGTATGCGTACGGCGGTACTCGAGTAGGATGTAAACAATTGATGGATAACCAGATCTTGGATGCGTTTGGAGTAGCAGCACGTGGAACGGAAACAAGTTCGTACTCGGATGCGGTATATACGGAGTGCGAATTACGAGACCGAGCCTCCGTCCCCGTAAAATGTGATTGGCGCGAGCTGGAATTTACCAAAAATAGCAGGGGCCCTGTGCCCGTGCCTGTGCTCGCTGGACCCCTTTCTTGTGAATGTCAGCCTCGACCCCCAGGACAGCTGGAGCTGCAAAGGAGGCGAGCCGTGGGCGACCGGCCTGCTTGCATCCACCGATCCACCCTCTCCGGTTAAGACAACTAAACTTCTTCCAGATCGCATTTCTCCATCCAAGCTACAGGAGGTCGGACAGTTTTGTTCCCCCCCCCACCAGGCATCTTGTTCCCTTTCTCTCCTTAGACACTTCTAATTCTTCTCCTACGCTCCTTTACTTTGACTTCATGTACATTGTTGTTTGGTAAGACGCCCTCCCTGCCCCAGTGACCATCCGTCTGGTGTGCGACGTGGTGAACAGAGAGGCTGACATGGTACCCCTTTACAGCAAATAGAAAAGCACTTCTTGTGCCATCCAGTCCTTATTCCTGTCACGCTCCATAATGGCCGCTATCATCGAGCAATACAAGCAGCTCGCGGAGCAGTACTACGAACGATACTCCGAGCAACTCTGGGAGGCCATCCCGGTTTTCTCAACCACCACCTATGTCCTCACCACCATCGCCGTCTGCCTGCCGCCCATCATCGCCCTTGTGATCTACGAACGCGAGCAGGCAAAGCTCCTGGCCGAGCAACCGCAGGGATGTCGAAAGTTAGGCATGAAGATTGAGAGCAATCTGCTCAATGAGTTCGACAAGAAGTTTTCGGAAGGCAGACCTCCTAGCACCGAGGAGACATCGGCAGAGTGGTGGCGCTTGAAGAGCATGTGGATCTATCCAGTGAAGAGCTGCAAAGGCGTAGAGCTGAACCGTGGAACGATCATTTCAACGGGCATGGAGTATGACCGTCAGTTTACCTTTGCTCAGTTGAAAAGCCCATTTCCAGTCAACGCCAACACACCGGAGAAGGACAAGGCAGCACACAAGTGGGAGTTCATTACTCAGAGGCAATTTCCGCTCCTAGCCAACGTGCGAACCGAAATGTGGATGCCAGACCAGAGTGTCGACACGTACAAACCACATTGCGACGACGTTGAGAGTGGTGGAGTAATCATCATGAGCTTTCCATGGCAGGAGCCAGGCTGGAAAGCAGCCGTTGCGAGATGGGGAGGGTCCTTCCTGGGACGAGTTCCTGAGAAGCAGTTCAGGGTTCCATTTGACCCAACTCCTGTGCAAATCGAGAAGGCAGGGTATTCATTTGAAAAGATGACCATCTGGAAAGACACAGTGAATTCTTTGAACCTGGAGATTGACATCCCGGAAGAGTTGAGATATTACCTGGGCATCAGCAATAAGTTAGGGCTCTTTCGAATCGACAATTCTAAACTCAGAGAAGTCCACAAAATGGCGCCCACCAAGGCAGAGATTGGGTATCAGCCAGTGACGGGATTCCAAGACTCCGTGAGTCCTACCAAATGTCCCTGCTATTTCAACATGAAGCTAACGAGTTCCAGTACCCGCTCCACCTTGTCAATCTTGCCAGTGTCCGGGACGTGGAGAGCAAGATGCCGTACGTGAAAGGCGCCCCTCGATTATCGGCCACTCGTTTCCGTCCAAACCTTATTATTACAGGTCCAGAGGCTTATAACGAGGACACCTGGCGAAAAATCAAGATCGGATTCTATGAATACTACGTTTCTTGCAGAACCACCCGCTGTAAGCTACCTAATGTGGACCAGTCTACTGGTCAAAATCATGCTAGCGAGCCCGACAAGACCTTGAGAAGCTTCAGAGCAGTCGATGAGGGAGCCGGACCAAATGTCGGATGTTTAGGAGTACAGATGATTCCGATCTCGAAAGAAAGTGCTCTTCGAGTTGGAGACGAAATTACAGTTCTCGAAACCGGCGAACATCGCTACATTAAGTGATGGTGATCTGTTTTTGCTTGATAACTTCAGGCATCTTCCGAACCACAACATGGAGTTGACGGTTGGGAACATGGTCGGTAATACGAATCCAACAGTAGCTTGAAATCCTAGGAGATCCGAAAAGAAGCGTTGTCGGATAATCTGCTTCTCGACGTTGCAGAAAGCATTTGAAATGATATATTTGTGAACGAGGATACCCCACACGTACGACGCAGCGTAGCACAGCACCGCCTAGAAGATCTTTCTTGTACCACTACCAGGTACACTGCGTCTTTTCGATCCCACCATTGCGGACGAGAAGTCCGTTCTTAGACCAACTATACACAATTGTAATAGAGCGCTTCGATATTTTGGTGGCCGCTAGGGATTTTTTTGTTGTCTTTCCTGCTATTTATTTTATTCATGTTTTGGGTGGTTCTCTGTGGGAGAGAGTATGGCGTTTCAGATGCTGCATATTCCTGGGAATGTCTATAGAAAAATGATAGGCATGGCGCTGCATATAGGTCAATAGCTGAAGAAAACTTTCTTACTGTCTGTTAGATTGGTTGATATTTTTAATGATCACTGTAAGTTGATGAGATCCGTATTTCTCACCAAGTATTTTTGCCACTCGATTTCATGCCAGACTGGTAAGAGGCTATAGTAGTAGTAATTATTTATGCTTGTTAACGACCGTCCGAGTCGATGTCTAAAAATACCGTCATTCCAGATTTGGACACTTGTCAAATGTCAAATGTCAAATGACGATACAAACAGAATCCCTGACTTCCCTGCCCCTCACCTAGCGGCAAGCCGAACCCCTCCCCGCCATTTCCACAAGTCCTCAACTCACGACCCTGTTGACACAACACGAAATAATACAACAGACCTATTCACAGTAAGAACGTCTCTGTATCATAACTTGCCCGAGCATATGTACTAATGTATGCCTTCCATTTCCAGTATCACAGCAGAACGTCCTTCTCAACAAAATGTCAGCATTCGATACCGCCGTTGTAGACTCCAAGAAGCTTACTTCCAAGCCTGGAAACGATGAGCTCCTAGAACTTTACGGTATGCACAATATCTCTCTCTCCGTTGACACTATGTGGCTGACAAAGATACAGGGCTTTACAAGGTTGCGACTGGCGAGGATATCGCGAAGGCCGAGGCACCTGGCATGTTTGACCTCAAGGTAGGTTCTGACGACACGCTCGCGGATGACACGGCTGATTCATGGGGATAGGGCAAAGCGAAGAAGAAGTCGTGGCAGAAGTATGTTGATGAGGGTTTGAGCCAGGATGCGGCCAAGGAGCAATATGTTAAGCTCGTTGGGACTTTGAAGGAGAAATACGGGTACGATGCGAACAAGGCTCCTGAGGCTGTTGGATCTTAGATGTGTTGTCCGAGAGCATGCTAGGGTTGTTCATATTTGGGGGAGCTGATAATAAAGAATCAAGTGGAGATAGCATTCATTTTTTCCGAGGTGAGCATTTGCATGTTATTATGTTGCAAAGCTGCTCCTTAATCCCACTCTTCCGTAGCCACTACAGGAGATATGTTAAATAGTAGCCAAGACTTTTCACCGATCGTCAGTATAATTTGACATGTAGGTACTGCCTGTTATGCCCGTAAAAATCTGGCCAAATACAAATGCTTTATGTCCCGCGGTACCGGTACCGGAAATGAAATTACATGCCCTAGTCAAAGTTCTAGGACTTATACCCGCCACTCGTCTTTGGTGCCTGTGATCATAACTGAGAACCTTTGTACCTTTGCAATTAGTCCTATGGACTCTTCTTCTACCGGCTAATCTCGAAATGACCTTGTTACGTAGACTACTAGGCAAGGATGGTCTAAGATACACGCTCTTATTTCACCCGGTACTCAATCGTTTCCCCATGTTTCTCCTTTCCACTATATCCAATAAGTTAGCAAGCTGCTAGAAACATGAGAAGTAATAACAAGGGTTCAAATTAAACGACTCAACCTACGTCTTGTTCTGTATACGTAGCAGTAGCACACCAGGGAATGTCGTCTTTTGAATACGGCTGCAGCGGTATGTCGTACGGCATTCTGGCTCCAACCACAACAGCGGCATCGCTTTTTACACTCCCTGGGAGATCTGTTTTGAATGTGGGTATCATAACAGCACCGTCACCGTAAAGCTCTGGCCACACAAGGACGCCAATCTCGTAGCTACATATTCGTACATCGCCACCAACATTCATTGCTTCGCCCCATGCTTGTTTCGATAAATTGGCAGAAGTCACAAGCATCCAGTCAATTGACGAGCATTGGCTATCTCCAAATCGTATGTAAGTTTTGATATGAGGAGCTGCTCTTCTTCGGCCTGCGTCATTAAGGGCGGAAGATTCTTTGAGGAATTAGTTCATGCTCAAAAGAGCTGTGTAGCTGGATCGGATGAATACCTTGATAACTGCTGTTCACGTCTCCAGCCCAATGTGACAAAATTGGCCGGAGATACCTCAGCTGTTTGACCTGCGCATCTGATTGAGTCTTCGTATGGATAGCACTACCCGAGCCATACCCGTTGAGACTTCTTCTGATCTCTTCGGCGGTAGGAAATATTATGCTGAATTTGATGTCATTAATTTCCTTTTTCTTCGAGGCCTGTAATGCCTTGAAAAACATGTTTAGCCACTTGTCCGTAGGGCCTAGAGTTGCGATTGAAGAGATCTGTACAACGATTTCTCCGGAACCTTCATTTACTGAGACAGCAGTCAACGCTTGTTTCAATGCAGGCCAGCCCCATAACGTTCCAGAATTCATATCATTTCCGTGTCTACCGGGAACGCTGGCTATTAGTGCACCATGAACTTGAGAAAAATCGTATTTTGACAATTCCTGTACCAGCGATCCACAGATAGTTCTCCGTGTGTCGTAAGCTCTCAAATAGTTGAGAAGGTCTTGCTTGAACTTCTGGCCACTTCCCATCTCCAAATTGAGCATCGTAGCGTTAGTCAATGAACCACTAGACGCTTTGGGAAGAAGCGGAGACCTCCATACAGCCTGGGTCATGTTTTTCCAATCAAATTCGATCATATTGGCAGTATGAATAATAACTTGTGCCATATCGTCATGCCTAATGACAATGATCATCTTCACAGTGATATCAGCCGCCATACCTAGGTAGGTTAAGGAGAAACATGACTAAGCCACGAAGGACCCAACCCAAGACGGAGACATACTTTTGAGTGATGCGTACCAAACATCTCTGGCATGTAGGCAGTGTGGAGTTTCACATTCGCGTATTTCTCGGCTTGTAGCTAGACGGAATCGAATTAACAACTGAACAGGAAAAAGACAGGCAAAAGAGGAAAGCCAAGAAAAAAGAGTGGTGTCGTTTAAGCTGACTGAGTAACGACTTACCTTTAGCCTCTGGCGAGATGGGTTTTCTGATTTCCAGAACCCATGCACGACATTGACTTTGACAAGATCTTTCACATCCGGATCAAAGGCATCCATTAGGAAGTCAAGATCATGCAGATAGTTGAATTCCCAGCACTCTGCAATCATAGGGTCCCCAAGAATGTCTCGCAGGGACACTGTACTTAGATTGGAAGATTCCGGTAGGTCGTGAATTCTAGTGAGTTGAAATGGAGACGGAACATCCTTCCGAGTTTTCAATGCGCGGCGCAATGGAGGTGGAGAAACTGGTCTTTCTAATGTTCTAACGGTTGGCGAAGATTCAATCTGCCCATCATCACTTAGACGGCGTCTCTTGCGAGGGCCGTCTTGGTCGAAGTCTTCCATTTCGCTGAAGTGACGGCTTCCTAGAGGCAGAAATATTATAGGTCGCCACCTAGAAGATGAAAACCAGAGATGCTGTACGTGAGACCCATGTAGAATAATGGTCGAGGAATACCTATATTCCAAACAGAAGCCGAAGTTAGCCGTTCCAGACGTTTACTCCGTACTGTCAAATGGATAGTGACTGGAGCTGGAGTACGACAACTCTCTCACTGCCAGGAGGAGGCAGGGCCGCGCCTGAGCCACATGGCACAAGCGAAGACCATGACCCGTTTCCCGTTTGGATCTAGCGCAGGAGCCAGGATCATTGCGCATACCGAAAGGTGTCGGATAAAGAACATAGGAATCTCCTCCCCTGGATTATCAACGCGTTCGTTATACATCAGGACAACAAAGCCAGCTTTGCACCGGGAAGAGACCGGTCATTATTCTGACCAACTTAAAAGATATCACCACCTGCTAGCCGCGACAACGCCCCAGGACTACTCTTCGAAGGCGGCCCCGCCGATTGTGCGGAATCCTTGCCCCCCAGGAGAACGTTGAGAGCGACGTTCACGATGCGTCTCCTCAGCATTTCTCTACTTTTAGCATTATGTGCGAGTGCAATAGCAGCAGATTCTCCGGTGGGGAAAACCGAATCACCTACGGATACATCAACCGAGGAGTTAGAAAATGATGGCCCGGCACCTACAGTATTCAATGGACAGGAGGTACCGCCGCTTCCAGAAATCGAGGGAGAAAAGTTCAATGAGACAGTGGCAGAAGGCTATTGGTTTGTGAAGCATTATTCGTAAGTCTTCCTACTGTAGGTATGGGTTAGGATGCAAGGGGAGCTAATATGTTTTCCCATTAGACCGTATTGTCCACATTGCATCGAGATTGCGCCCACATGGCAGACCTTACACGAATTCTACTACACCTCAAAACCCCTCCCTAGTAGCGATGCAAGCAGCACGCCTACATCAATGAACACTTTTACGGCTTTTTACAAGTTCCATTTCGGGTCCGTTGACTGTATTGCATATGGATCGCTTTGCTCTGCTCACAACGTTGGAGCCTTCCCAACATTCATTCTATACAAAGATGGCGAGGAAGTCAAGAGGTTTACTGGCGCTAAGAAGATCAAACCAATTAGTGATTTTGTGGAGGATACTTTAGAAGCTATAAGACCAGGCTCGCGGCCAGCGGGGGGCCCCGAATTGCCCCAACCTGGAGACAAGAATACGAAGGACTTCCAAGCACCACCAGCAGCAGCAGTCTCAGCGACAGAGCCAGCTGCTACTAAAGCTGCGGATGACGAGAACTCTAAAGCGGCCGCCTCAGCAAGCACTGGCGCTACCCCCGAGAAGACGAAAGCGGCTCTTAAGGCGACTCCGGTGAAGGGCAAGCCAAAAAAGACAAAGCCCACCTCCAATCCGAACTCCCTTGGCAAGTCGATCTCATTTACAGCAGAGACGTTTCAGAGTGCTGTTACTATGACCCAGGATCCTTGGTTCATCAAATTCTATGCTCCGTGGTGCGGACATTGCCAGGCTATGGCACCAAATTGGATCCAGCTAGCCAAAGAGTTCAAAGGGAAACTCAACATCGGGGAGGTAAATTGTGATGTTGAGTCTCGACTTTGCAAAGACGCCCATCTTCGAGGCTATCCAACAATTCTTTTCTTCCAAGGAGGGGAGCGTGTTGAGTATGAAGGTCTCCGAGGACTTGGTGATTTCATTTCCTATGCCAACAAAGCAATTGATATTAGTGACGGAGTGAAGGACGTGGATGCAGTTGAGTTCAAGGAATTGGAAGAGAAGGAGGAAGTCATTTTCGTCTACTTCTACGATCACGCAACTACTAGTGAGGATTTTGCTGCTCTTGAGCGGCTGACATTAAGCTTGATTGGGCATGCGAAACTCGTAAAGACCAACAGCGCTGCATTGGCCGAGCGATTTAAGATTACTACGTGGCCGAGACTTCTGGTGTCAAGAGACGGCCGTCCAACTTACTACACCGCCCTCGCGCCTCAGGACATGCGCGACTTCCGCCAAGTCCTTCACTGGATGCAGTCTGTTTGGCTTCCAATTGTTCCAGAACTCACTGCATCGAACTCGCGGGAGATCATGGATGGTAAATTGGTTGTCCTCGGTATACTAACCCGTGAAAGACCAGATGCTTTCGCAGCTGCCAAGAAAGAGATCAAGAGCGCTGCTCTGGAATGGATGGACAAGCAGACGACTGCCTTCCAACGTGAGCGACAGGAATTGAGAGATGCTAAGCAATTGCGAATTGAAGAGGCAGAAGATCGAAATGATCAACGAGCTCTCAGAGCCGCAAAGAGCATTCGCATCAACATGGACAAATCCGAGCAGAAGGAGGTCGGATTCGCATGGGTTGATGGTGTCTTCTGGGAAAGATGGGTACGATCTACGTACGGTATTGACGTGTCTAAGGACGGCGAGAAAGTCATTATCAACGATGAAGACGTAAGTTCCCCGATTCATTCTAAATCTCATTTTGACTAACTCGCCAAAGCAACGAAGATACTGGGATACCACCATCAGCGGGAACTTCATCATGGCCTCGCGTACCTCAATCCTAGAGACCATTGGCAAAGTCTCTGTTTCACCTCCTAAAATCAAACCTAAAACTACCATCTCATCATTTGAGAAATTCTTCTTTGATATTAGGCATGCTATTTCAGGACACCCTTTCCTTTCAATAGGTGTGCTTGCGGGTGTTTTACTGGGCGTGTTAGTGTATGGAAGAAGACATCGCCGACAAAGAGGTGGATTCTTTAGACTGGACGAGAAGGATGGGTTGTTGGGCGCTAACGGGGCCGGAAAGGTTGATTAGAAGGGATCATTTGGGTTGGGCTGTATTATAGCAAAGTAAGCGGGGTTTGGTCAATTGTATGCGGGGTTCTGGGTTAAAGGGTTTTTTGGTTTGTAGGCACAATGTCATAATACGTGTGATAGTTTGAGATGGTTGAAGGAGAGGTGAAGTGAAGAGATTCCTGACATTCTCTAGTTGTGAGGTTCCGTTGCTCTATTTACCTGATTTCGACGGAGGACCTTATAAAATCGGCGACGCATATTTCAGCGCCAACGTTTCTCAAGCTCGAATTTGAGCTCAGAAAGTTGAACCAGAGTACCGAGATACTCACTTATTTCCCCACCGCTGGAGCACAGCCCAAACTCCCATACTCCCCACCACCACACACCACCTCCCATCCGGACTCCACGCAGCCTGTCTCCCACAGAAATCCAACCCCTTCACCACCTCCTCCCGGTGAGGCGCCAGATCCTTCAACGGGTCATCCATCGCATATCTCATCTCCCATCCCGCCTTACTCTTCTCCCAATCCACAGTCCCCGCTACATCACCACCCGATCGCTGACTCGCCGTTGAATCCGTCGGGCTGTTTGAGCGTCTACGACCTCGTATGATACCACGTCCGCGCTGGCGTCGCTGATATGGATTCAGGAATTTGGGACGGAGAACGGGATCTTTGATCTTCTCGGGAGTGGAAATGATAGAAGCGTATTCTTCGAGACGGCGGAGATCCCAGAATGAAACCTTGGAGAATTTATTGCAGAATGCTAGGACGGGACCTGTGGTTTCTGTGCCTGGGAAGAGGGAGAAACGCATCCATACGATGTCGCCTTCTGGGATGTCGAATTGGAGCAGTCTCGTGTACTGCAGGGGAGCGCCGTCAGTCAGAGCTGGAGGGGAAAAGGCGGAGCGGGTCGAGGTTTGTCGTTCGTGGGCGGTTGGGGCGGAGAGGACGTCGGGAATGGGGGAGGAGGAGGAGAAGCCGGCAATGGACCAGAGGACTATGCTATCTTCTCGATCTGATTTGGATAATATTAGGTCGTCGTGGAATTGGACGCTATGAGGGTGTTAGGAGGGGTGGACGAGCAGTTCGAGGGTAACACACCAGTCCACGATATATTGATGAATTTCTTGGGTTGAAAAGTGAGGATAGTGGACTAAAGTCGGCACATTCTTTCCTGTGTTTTCGTCGGGAAAGGCTGGAAGAGTCCACTGCCTACGTTTAGTAAGCGCTGGAGAAGTTTTGGATATGACTTACTAGATTGATCACCCCATCTGCTCCACCGGACAGAAGATACCGCCCATTTTCATGAAAAGCCTATTTGAGGTTAGGGCTCTGGTTTTCGCGAGAGCGAGTAAATACTAACAATCGTTAATACCTTATCATTATGGCCATCACCTCCCAATATTGCTGCACATGGCTGGTTTTCGTGTGCTGGATCCACGCTCCAAATCCGCACTGTCAGATCCTCCGAGGCAGACGCTAGGATTTTGGGATTAGTTGGACATATGGCGAGGTCGTTGATTTCCTGCTGTTGTTAGTTTGTCCTTGGATAATCCACAATCTCGTTTTTGCTCACTCCGCCATGCCCATAAAGTGTCTATTCAGCAATTAGCTCCGAAGATGTTTAGTAGGCGGTGCAATAGAGGTCAAGGGCCATACTCTTAGCAATTGGCCAGAAATTGCATCCACGATCCTAATCAATGCCCCACTGCCGGCGACGCAGAGCAGTGGTTTACCATTAGTGGGGTCTTTGGTCCAAGTACACGTGTAAAAGTCCTCGTCATCCTATGTCACCGTCAGCTGTAGTACATACATACCTGGGTAGGTATGCTTCCTATGCGAGACGTACATCGCTGACGTGCAGTTTTTCATCTTGAATACAATTGATAATCTCGTGCTTACCCTTACCCGAAGACGAGAGGCGACAAATTATAATCTCAACTTGATCAACTTGGATCTGGAAGCTAGCACCACCTGGGACTTACATGTCGACCGCCGACCAAAGCAAAAACCGAGTCATCTCCTGGCTTTGTATATGGGTAAAACTTAACCGAGTACCAGTCTATTGAAGCATTAGACGAGTTTAGTAAAACCATCCCGTTTCAAGATCGGCATACCGCGACGAAAATCCTGTGCGACTGTTGGTTAGGGGCAACAGGTGCAAGTGACAGGATGTTGGCTCACGGAAGGATACTTACTGGTAACTGATGCGCCTCCTTGAACACTGGTAGCTCCCACTCGGGTTGAATTTGCTGCCTGGAAGCCATCGTCTCCCGAATGAGCAGAGCACTGGCGTGGCAAACGAGTGACACACGGGGTGGGATGGGCACCTGGGCAGAGGAAGACTTAAACGCTAGAGCACCTAGAGCACCTCGGGAGTGAGTGCTTCTACGAACTACGAGTGCCGACAATGGCAGAATCTGACCCTGAAGGTGAATCGACGGAATCAGTCAAGTAATTCGTAATGATCGAGGTCAATTCCGCATATCTGGGAGTCATGGATATCTCATGCCACTCGACAGAAATGAAGAGGCATCTGGACTGGACGACATGGTTTATACGGCTGTCCCTGTCCCATGTTTTGCTTTGTTGTGACGAGCGGTCCTCGCAGCTCAAAAACATGAAAACATACATATCAAATACGCTGCAGACTTCCGCGAAGAGTTGATAGTCGTACGGTTGGGCGATTGTACTTACCTCCACGTCGCCCGTTGGCAGGTTACTCCAGAGCAGCGGTGCGAAGCTTTCTTCTTTCTCCCTTCTCCTTTCCCGGTTGTCCGCTTCCAATGCCTGAGAGCTGGTTGCTTCTCAACTCGTTGGATAGGAATTCAGCCGCTTCACGTTGGGCGCTGGACTTCACGTCTCCGCGGGCGCGTGCCTGCTCTCCCTCTGCTGTTGGCTGCTGCGGTAGAACGGTGCTGCGTGCGTGCGTGCGGAGTCCGCGAGGCAAAGTGGCAGCAGCAGTCAAAGTGGCGTCGACATTGTGCGACCGAGTGAGGACATGTCAACGTGAAGTTGTGAGTCCCTCCGAGCCCTGTGGAGGTGGAGTGGGAGCCGAAGCGCGTTTTGCGCCGAACCATACATCCGCTCCATTCGTGTCACGGGCATATCCGGCTTGCACGAATCCGAGCCGGCCAGAGCACCGTGTGCCGAACCGAGCAGAGCCTGCCGAAGGCCTTGCCCTAGACTGTCTCTCCACACCCCCGGGCCCCGACCGGCCGTTGAGCTGAGCTGATCAGAGTGAGACATCACCAGCATCACCAAGCCCGCCCTCGAGCGTCCTACGATCCTACAATACGAGTACTTGCGTGGCATTGTACCATGGACGTACGGTGGACAAGGACGATGTACACAGACGATTGCACGCTAGAACAGGGTGTTTTGGAAGGTCTCCATTGCGACTCAGCCAAAGAAGCGCTTCGATGTTCTCGAGATGGTACGGACTTGCTGCAAATGTGTTGTGACCTGAAGTCAGATACTTGTGAGAGACGCATCTCTGAGCACGGACTCAACATCCAATTGTGATCGGCCCCAGGGTAGAGTCGGATGAATGCAGCTGATTCCTGCCAAGCCAAGTTCCAACTTTTGTGGCCTCAAAGCCTCAAACAGAGCAAATTGGCGATTACAACATACTCACTAGATCCTTATTTCTGGCCGGTGGATCAAATTCTAACCTATAGCACGATACGGATTCGATGAGATTGTAGGGCTTGAATTAGTGATCTACTGTTTTAAAATAAGGTTTTCGAGACTTCTTGTGCTCGGTCTTCAAAATCTGGGGAGGCCGACCAGTATAGGAGCTTTAATAAGCCTCCGAAATGAGCATTCTATAGTTCTCACACGTCCGACTAATCCAACCCTTAACCGGACACAGATAAGGATCTAGTGAGTAACCTTAAAGCGAGCGCAGCAGAGCCGAACGTATGAGGAAAAAGCAAAGCGTCAAACTCAAATATGGCAGCTAAGCACGCAACAAATGGGAGAATTACCTGCCTAGGTACCTGCCTAGGTACCTAGACAGGTAATGAGTCGCTCGAAGCATGGCGAGCCAGTCTTCTTCACCCTTCTGCGTCAGCAAGTCGGCACAAGTACCTAGGTAGACACGGTCGTTGACAAGTAACTTTCCTGCAACTTACTGCACGCTAACGTACCGATGGACCCAAACCGTATGGCATATGTCCTTCTAGTGGTAGCCAGCATATGTATCTCGAGAAGAAATTACCGCAGTCGACCTTTGTTGTGCACGCCTTGTTGGCTGGCCGTGGCGTGGGAAGGGTGATTCTGATCAGAAATTGACAATGAGAACCAGTCGAGGGGAGACTATCCAGAGTACTCGAGTAGTAAGGTAAGTAGCAAGAATGAGATGGGTCGTAAATCATGCAAAAGAGACCGCAGGTGGGCTGCACAGAGACCAAAGAGGGAGCGTGGTGGAGGCAGACCCATCAAAGGTATTGAGTAGTAATAAGTACCTTCTCTAGTTGGCTAAATAGGGCTAAGTGGTAAGTATCTACAGCGCAACTAGACCTTTCTCACTACTGTCATCGACGATGACAGTTCCGACATTCAAGCCCAGTTTGCATTCTGCACTTGGCAACGACCAGAACGGCGGTGATCGGCGACTTGCTCGGCAGCTGGCACCGCAACGCAACGGCTGCGTGCGAAAAGGACACCAGACTAGCACCACTGTCTTCTCGTACGAGAGAGCGCCAACTGAGGCGTGAGGCGTGGTGATACAGAGGTACCTAGGTATGTGGTGAAAACGATTTCAAGGACGACCTCGTACCGTAGGTACACCGTAGGTAGCTAGTTGACTGGCAAATATACCAATTGAGGGAATACTCCTCGATAAAGACTAACCTTGGGCCTTTCTAGGCGCGGATGCAGGTACTCTGAGCATAGCAACTCAACTTCAGATGGCTTCAGCTGTTGTCCAAGGATTTAATTGTCCTGGCATACTGTTAGTCGGTCCTGCCAAAGTCTAACGAACCTTTGAACGACGCTTGCGGCCCCTCTACTGATAGCCGGGGGCTTTCCATCCCAGCTCCAGGGCTGCCCAGGTGCTCACGACTGTTTACTTCCTTCTTTGAGCCTTATGACAGCGGGATCGTCGCCGCTGTCCACCACAGAGTCACAGACAATGCTCTCTGGAACAGCGCACAGCTCACGTTCAATGATTTAAAAGATACGTACCGGTGGTTGCCACCCCCAGTCCTCCAGGCTTTTGGTGGCGTCCAGGTATTTCTCGCAAACAATACTGCATCCAGAGCCCCAATTTGATACCGGAAGCTCAATTGGCCTCGCCCGCGTAGCCCAGGATAAGAAGAAGAAGGAATATACTGCTTCTGCGATAGGGCCGTCCTCACCAGCCACTGGCAGACCCCTTTCCATTCCATATCCGACGGACCCTTGGGATCCTCGTGCCCGTACCTATTAGTGTCGACGTAATGTGCACGGACTCCACCTGGGCAGCTACCAACGGTTTTCTCTCTTGATACCATTCGACAATCCGCTAGCCACAACCACATCACCGCATCAAACGGTACCTGCTCGTCCCCAAATCCTTCTTTGTCCGTGAGAAAAGCAGCAAAACTCCACGTTGGTACTCT